TGGGGGCTGGCGGTGACAAGCGAAGTGCGGGGAGGTGAGTTGGGGACGGTGACAACGTCATGGGGGGTAACGGGGCCACATGGAGGTGCCGGTTGTGGGGACAATGTGGGTCCAGGACTAGGTTTGGGTGAGGAACCAGGGATGGACACGGAGTGGGGACAGGGGCTGCAGAGAGGACAGGGAAGGGGACAGGAATGAGGGCTGCGAATAGGACGGTGGGGACAAGGCAGGGGGACACGGGTGACAGCGCGGGCACAGCCAGGGAAGGGGGTTTCTCGGTCCCAGGTGTCACCAGGACCTCGGGGCCGGTGCCCGGCTCACTGCTGTCTCCCTGCCCAGCGTCCCCACCGTCCCTGTCACTGCACCCCAGCGAGGAGGTGGCCCTGGGGGACACAGTCACGCTGCGGTGCCGTGTGCCCCGCTCGGATGTCCGGGTCTCCTTTTACAAGGAGGGACATGGGGTACCCCCATGGCACACAGATGAGGTGAAGGACACAGCCGAGTTCTCCGTGAATGTGACACGGAATTCCGCTGGGAGATACACGTGTCGGTACGAGATCCTGGCATCACCCTGGTACTCGGACTTGAGCGACCCCGTGGATCTGGTGGTGCTGGGTGAGGGCCTGGCTGATCCTTGGGAAGGATGGGGGTGTGTGGTGGTTCTCCAATGGGATACAGGCGGAGTTGGGGTGTTCCTGGGTGGTAGGGCTGGTAGGGAGGTCCCCATGGAACACCCGTACAGGAAGGGAGTCCCCTTGTGCTCTCTATGGTGTCCCCAGGGGTTTGGGCAGGGTGTTGGGGTCTGGGCAAGGTGTTGGGGTCTGGGCAAGGTGTTGGGGTCTGGGCAGGGTGTTGGGGTCTACAGGGGACACGGGGTGTCCTTGGGGGTGTCCCCACAGGGCCGTGTCCCACTGTCTGTCCTTCTGCTGAACAGATCCCGCCTACACCCCACCTACCATGTCCCTGAGTCCCAAGGGACGCGTGGAGCCGGGCACGGATGTCACCATCTCGTGTCAGTCCTCATATGGGGTCAACTTCATCCTGCACAAGGACGGGAGCGCCATTCAGCGCCAGCAACTAAAGAGGGGACACACGGCCACCTTCATCCTCCCGAGGGTGACCGAGGACAACGCTGGCACCTATGGGTGCTCCTACCGTCCCCGAGAGAACCCCTTCATCTCCTCGCACCCCAGGGCTGAGGTGACACTGGAGGTGGCATCTGAGGGTTCCCTCCCTACTCAGTCAGTGCCACCGGGTAAGTCCCACACCCCAAATCACGTCTCATGGTGCCCCATCCTCCTCCCCGACCCATAGCGCCAGCCCCGGCCTCTGTCACCGCTTCCTGTCCCCTTCTGAGGAGGAAGCGGCCGAGGACACTGGTGGCCTTGGGCGGCACTGAGTGGGGGCAGGGGCCCTGCGGAGGGCCCAGGCGTCCGGGCTGAGCACCCTATGGCACCCATAGGCACCCAGGAGCCCACCTGGACCTTGCCCGTGGTGGTGGGCTGCGTTGCCGTCCTCGTCATCGGCCTCGGCCTCGTCTTCCTCGGTGTCGCCTGTTGTTGCAGGAGGCAGAACGGTGAGAGCCCTGGGTGGGACGGGGTCAAAACGTCCCTAGGGACCACATGGGGCACCCATGTCCCCTCGGGTCATCTCCATCTGTCCCCTGTTCCTCTCCAGACCTCCATGTCTCTTCCAGAGCCATCTGTGTCCCTCAGAGTCCCCAATAGGTCTGATGAGGTCCAAGCATGACCTACATCCCTGGGGTCCCTTTTAGACCCTCCCAGAGCCACCTCAGCCCCCCAGAGTCCCCTATATGTCCCCAAGCGTCACCTACACCCCCAGGGTTCACATATCTGACGATGTCCCTCCCAGAGCCACCAGGGTCCCCACTGTCCTTGGGGTCAAGGATTGTCAATATCTGGGGGACCTTGTTGGCTCCATTCTTGTCCCCAATGTCCTGGGGTTTCCTGGGTGTCCCTTGGAAGCAGGAGTCTCCCCATTGACCATAGGATGTTCCTCAAATCCCAGGGGGTCCCCGCTGTGACCGAGCTGTCCCCAGGGCCGGGGGGTGTCCCCTGCTGTCCCATTCCCGTGCCCCAATCACGTTGCTTTCCGTATTTGTGCAGGAAAAGGTCCCACCGCGGCACCCGGAAGGTATGAGAGGGACCCCACGCCAGGACGGTGGGTGCTTGGGGTCCTGCAGATGTGGGGTCAGTTTTTGGGGGGCCAATTCCATTTATAGCCATGGAAGGAAGTGGGGAAAGGGCCGGGATGTTGGTTGGGAAGGGAGCCCCGGACACCCCGGTTCTCTCCCCTGTTTGCCCAGGGTCCCCTCTGCGGAGCTGCTCCCCCAGGACAGGGTGGGTGAGTATCAACTACCCCCACCCCAATGTCCCC